CGCCTTGGCACCCTGCTGGCTCGTGTTCAGCCAGCTGTTGACCAACATCCCCAGGTCTTTCTCCGCTGGGCAGCTTTCCAGCTGCTCTTCCTAATTTACTAAGTAACTATTTAATTGCTTTTTTTTTTCAGTTGCTTTAGATGCTTTTTGTTATGCATCTCATGCCATCAATGCCATCAGTGACTTGAGTTCTACTCAACACAAACACAGTCCATCCATTGCTCCACTGGAGTACCAGGGACCATGTGGCCAGAACAGCCTGGCTCAAAGCCTGGGCAGGCAACCCATGAAAGAGCTTTACAACCAGGTAGAGTGCATCCTGTTCAGGGAAGATCTCTGCAGCAAGGTGCTCACCTGGTAGGACAGAATGGATGCAGAGTGCTATACTATCACCAACAGATCAGGAAACAGGACCATCCACCAATTCTCCTCTGCTGTTAAAACTTTACAAGGTTGAAGTCAGAAAAACCTTAGGACAAGAGAGATCTGTGTGGCACAGCATTTGGATCGAGATGGAGCAGAAATCCCTTTAGTCCTCAAACAAATGTCCTAAAAGAAACCATGTGGCAATTTAACACATTGAGTTTACATTTTTTGCTGCCCAGAACCTTCTGTAACTTTCAGCCTGGAAGGTAGGGAAGACACATCTCCCTCATCTTGGATGAGTGCTCCTGTCATTACACTTCTACATACAGCTTTCATCAGCTCCTCCTTCTTGGAATGTGTTTGAAAAGACTTAAATGAGCCTTGCAGATATTCTGAGCAAAAGGGCACAGGGACCTTTTCTACAGGGAGGCCTCCCACCCATAGATGCAGATGTATGAAGATATCCCCTTACAGCTCCACGAAAATCAAAGAAAAATGACACTTCTGACATCCTCTAGTTTTCTATGTTCTCATTAGCATTTCACAGAATCACAGAATCGATTTGGTTGGAAGAGACCTCAGGGATCGTCGAGTCCAACCTTTGCCCTAACACCACCATGTCAACTAGACCATGGCACTAAGTGCCAGGTCCAGTCTTTTCTTAAACACCTCCAGGGATGGGGACTCCACCACCTCCCTGGGCAGCCCATCCCAATGCCTAGCAACCCCTTCTGTGAAGAAATGCCTCCTCATTTCTAGCCTGGACTTCTCCTGGCACAGTTTCAGACCATGCCCTCTTCTCCTGTCACTGGTGGCCTGGGAGAAGAGACCAACCCCCACCTGGCTACAACCTCCTTTCAGGTCGTTGTGGAGAGTGATAAGGTCTCCATTTAACACTTCAAATTTCTGAGCGAATTTATTTTTAGTGGTTCTTACTTAGCACTTGAGCCACTGTGAATGTCCACTTTGAGGCACTCTGACTCGGGGTACTACAGTCAGACACCTCAAATATACATGCCTAGGAGCTGCTGCTGGGTGGAAGTCCTTGTGTCCAGCATTGTCTCATCTCATCAAAGGCCTTCACAGACCACAGCTGTATAAGGCCTACGACTATGGCCAGTGATGTAGCACTACATGTCTGTGGGTCTGTCCTGGTTTGGCTAAAACAGGGCTATTTTCTCTTTTCAGGAGTTTTTCTTTCAATCAAATCCCTTCTAAGTAACTGCACTTTCTGAAAGTACAGCTACAGTTTACATGTTTTTCGGACACTGTCTGCGCTT